TACTAGTCTTCACCGCTGCAATTATCAATATCAAAGAAGCCTGTACCGGTATTTGAACTCAGCTGGCTCGAGCTTATTGTTTAAGCGACTGTTCTGAGCTAAATCAAGCGTAATCCGAACTGTACTAAATATACTTTTCGCTCGTAAATATACGACTAACCGTGTAAATACCAGCACAAGGATACCGTTACATTGATCTGTTGCACAGATCGACATTGTAGTCGACACTAAAGTGTAACATTCCTTAGTCGAGGCACCATTTTGTATGGGAAAAATCATTGACAATACGCGAACGCAATGGCGCATCTTCGCGCTCGGCTTGACATTCCACTTTACGATTATTGCTCTAACTGTACAGGCTTCCATTCAGCCAGATTTCCACGGGAGGCACTTTCTTCTGCTATTGTACCTACTATAACAGTTGAATTCCGACCGCTTTATCTCGGACTAAATGTTCTTATAATGTTCGCCATAAATGTCTTGGAACTCTAAACTTTGTATGGGGGATCGTGGATATGATACAAATATTATGTTGAAATGCCAATATGTTTACTATAAAAATTAAACATACGTTACAGATAAACAAAGTACGGGGCACTAACAAACATGAACTGCAAACGTTCATATAGTTTAATTATGTAGGAGGTACATACAGCTAACATCTGGCGGAAAATTGTCATTTTCGAGTATTTTTCCACCGAGGAACCATTTATTAGGCCGTAGAGACAGAAATCACAAGTACCGCAAAAGTAGTCAATACCTTACGAATATGACAGTCTTGATAAAGGAAACGTAACTCGAAGCTATTGGAAAGTCCTACCATAGTCGTATTCCGGTAGAATTTATATAAACATTTCCTGTAAACTGATAAATCTCTATTACAAATGACTTTTCTAACAAGTAGCCAAACCTGTGTTCCTGTTTTGAATAATGTGTTAAGTGACTATAGTTTAAAAATAAATCTCTTAGAATAACCGCTTAATAGGCCAGTTAGTTTCGATAGAAGCACGACAAAAAAATACATTGAACCTATTACAAGGGGCATTGTATGCTAACGGCCTGGCCGTCATCAAAGCCCTTGTTAGCATGCCAGCATTACAATGCACCTGCAAGGATGACTGTCGAATACCGAAGCATACTTGGTGACGCGATGAGTCACGCATTGGCACCAATAGCGCCCACCATTAAGGCCCATTTACACGATGCCATTTTCTTGTACATACAAGAGCAATAATGGAATGCAATAAATTGCGCGCAATAATTGTTTAGACCATTTGTTGTTTAGACCATGCAACTCATTTATTGCTTCAATTTAATTGTATACAACAGGCAAGAAACTGGCACCATGTAAATGGGCCTTTAGTTATTTTCGATAGATTGAATGTATTAGACGTAAAACTTTAGATTTGTACGCAGTTCGTGCGGTCATTGAAACGACGATTTTATGTCTGCCCACAAGCGCAATTGAAACATTATTTAACAAACAATATATTACTGTTCATTGTGTGATTTTCAATGCTTTTGAAAGTAAGATAATTACAATTTGTTTAAACTACCTACTTTACACCGACGAAGATAGAAAACCAAACACTGTATTTGCATAAGAAAATAATTATTAAAACTCATGTAATTAATAAATTGTAAAAACTATTCGTATTATAATTCCGTAACGATAACCATTTGTAAATCAGAACGTGATCCCATTATAACTGGTAATTAAAAAAATAAAAATGCCATTGGGCCAATTCATACTACTATAAAAAAAAGAGTTTATGACAAGTCTTGCCGCGAAAGAAAGCGACATGAGTTTTTGGATACAGGCAAGCTGAATGCAAAAAATGATTAGGCTACATCTGGAGAGTAGTTCAAGGGTTTTATTACTCAAAGTCACTGATAATTTCTGTGTGAACACATTAAAAGGCTTGATGCTTACAATCGCTGATGATCTCCTAAATCGAGATGCAAAGCTACGTGCTACAACTGTGTATATGATTCGTTCCAATAGATGAGTCCCATTAGCGGGAATGAGGTGAACGTCCAAGGATTATGCAGATCCCAACATACGTGCATACGTACATATTGATTTTATTTTAAAACATTGCCGTTACTGTAGGATAACATTATCTTATTATTTGTAGGGACGTTTCACAAACATAAGTTTCACGTGGACAAATATCCAGATGCGAAACAACTATCTGTGGGTCACACAAATAGTTGTCCCGTGTGGGAATCGATACCACGAACCCCGACGCCGAAGCCAATACCTTGGCAACTGCGCCACGGAGTCATCAAATATATCAGATATACGCTATCATGGTGTACCTATTAATTAAAGCTTGCAGTACAATAACGGTTTTCGATGACGTATCAATACATTTTAAACTGTGGTAGGGCCACGCAATGGATCGCTTTTGCTCGAATGGGCAGGTCCGTGCGGGTAAATACCACGACCTCAGTAAAGTGGAAGTGTTTCTCGGCCTGGTGAGTGAGGTAGCCGGGGCCCACTTTATTAAAAGGTGGCAACGCATCTGCAACCCTACGGGTGTTGCAGATGTCCGTGGGCGGCGGTAATTAATTAACATCAGGTGAACCGCCAGCTCTCTCGCCACTTTCTCACATAAAAAAAAGACGGCGAGAGCCTTGGGCTGTGCACGCGTTTTTAACCGACTTCGAAAGAGGAGGTTGTTAAATCGCTTGTCTTTTTTATGTGATGTGAATACAGAATTCGGTCATTAATAAATCGCTTTAGAAAATTCCGTTTTAGCCGGAAATGAGACACTCATTTTGAAGATTTTCAAGAATTTTCTGGACCTTTAATCATTTCGTCCATAATCACGCATTCACTTGTAGATGAATACTTGTAATATACGCAGACAAGGTTGTGCAGTGGTGGAAGGAAAATTACAAATTTAATTTCCCTTTGATCTTTTTTTTTGCTATAATCTTGGTACGTTTGTTATAATCTATAACTTGACCCATGCATGACTGGCGTTATGTATGTAATATGATATTGATTTTGTCGCGGCAATAGTAGATGATTACTGCCGTTCGTGGAAATCTTTGTGACTAGAAGTGTAACAAGATGCACAGGCAACATTTAAGATGGGCCTTCCGCTTCTTGAATCGGTAGAGGAAATGAAAAAGTTGCTAATACCACTGTACACCGGCCTGAGTTGGTACTACCCCAGTGAGGTAGATGCACAAATTCAACTCCTAGAACAATTATTAATTCAGCAGTAGCTTATCAAAGTTCTAGAATATGGTTCCAATACGTTTTTCAATACGTATACAATCGTTTTTTCTAACTTGTGCATTAGATAATAACACACCAATAGAAACCATTTATCTCTTTTCAGTTTGAAAAATCAGTAGTAAAAAATAAAACAAAGTCGTCCCGCTGTCTGTCTGTCCCTATGTATGCTTAGATCTTTAAATCTACGCAAGCGCAACGGATCTTGATGCGGTTTTTTTACTTGATAAGTGATTCAAGAGAAATTTATAATACATTAACCCATGCGAAGCCGGAGCGGGTCACTAGTTATAATATAAAACTATTTTGTTGAAGTTTAACGTGTACGTTTGTCTGTAGGAAATCATAAACCAAAGTCATGTAGTGTTACTATATACGTATTATCACCGAAAAACAATTTACGCGTTCCATGAAATACATTTTACGATCCAGAAGTCTGCCGTGCTACAACTTATAGTGGTAATAAATGAAGCGAAATAATTCTTCGTATATGTATTATTTCCGGTTGCTTCGCCCGGCCAGGCATTGAAAATTCCTGATGTTGTTGCGAGTTATCTTTAATCTGTAAAAAATTTTAATATATCCAATATTAACAACATTAAATCTATTTAAATTATATATTATCTAATAAACATCTATTATTTAATAAAAAAATGATTTTGATTTTTTAGGTGAGAAGGTGGGAAGCGAGCACGTGGTTCTCTGGATGTTAAGTGATAACCACCGCCCATTTTTTATTTTGTCAAAATCAAAAAAAGTTGAGTCCCGGCTACTTCACTCACCAGACGAAACGCAGAAGTGTAACAATTCCTTGGTCTTCTGTGAGTTCGTGATACTTCCTATAGAACTCTAACGTTACTGTTAGAACTCAAACGTTTTTACCTTGATCCTAATATTTTAACTTTTACTGAACTCCAAGTGACCGGTGCTCCATGCCACCATGTGTCCCTTGGCTCGAGTAGATAACGTCATATCCGGTATACAGTGTTGCCAGCGCCAACATTCCCTGGGCGGACTTGCCCATTCGTGCAACAGCGAAGACTTGCGTGGCCCAACCACAGTTAGTTTGATTCTCGATTGAATTAAAATTTTGGTATATCTAATCGGCAACAACGCAATTGCTTATCGATATTTGTATTAAGTGCACCTATTACTTTCGAAATAATAAAAATATTCTTAGTTATGTAAACTTTGCCCATCTATGATACGCCCTAGATAGAGCTATGACCTGATATATTTTTTTTTTTCAAGCAATGATGGCGGTTTTCATTTTGAAGACTATGCTGACTGTATGTAAGTGAAAGTGTAGTAAGTGTAGTAAGTGCAGTAAGTAAACTGTAGTAAGTATACCTTATCGAAGAAATAAGGAAATATAAACAAAGAGTTAAAAAGTTTTTTTTTAGTGGACAAAGCGCCAAACGTTCTGGCGATTCACTTGATAACCGCCGCCCATGGACTTATGCAACACCCGATGGGTTGCAATGCGTAAACAAATAAATAAATATCTTTACGATATTTATATACTATAAGAATTATAGTCACCTGGCGTCCTTCGAGCATTCCCAAGATAAACTTCAAAGAATGAAAGATAAACTTCGAGTTGTTTGCTTTACGAGCCCTGACGATGCGCTGATCGGCCGAAAATGCCGTAGAAGAGACCTTTAAGGGAGAACGGGACCACTGCTTTCAGTGGCTCCATCGAATGCGAAGATTGTACATATTCTAGTTGAAAGGTGGTTGCTGTTCTTACCTTATTTCCGAAGGCGGCCGGTAAGCGCCGCTGGTCACGTAGACATCCGAGTCGGCCCTAGGCGAGCCGTTGGAGTGGTGGTGACGCCTGCCGTTGCGATGGTCGCCACCGCCGGAGCCGCCACCGGACGGTGACCTCGTTCTCTCGTCCATCGTCTGCAATATCACCAGCGGTCAAAATCTGTTCCTGTATTGTTCCTTATAGGCTTAAAAATGTGTAGAGACGTTCGACCGCTTAGCTAAGTGGTTACAGCGTGGGGATGCATAAAGGAACTCCCAGGTTCGAACCTCGCAACGGCGGAAAATTTTATAGAGAGGATAGACTCCTCGGACCCAACCGACGTCCTATACACGCGATTTAAATCCGACAACAACTTATAAATAAAAAAAAAAAAAAAAAACAAATTGTGAATCCTAAACGGCTGATGGTTTCATTCTCGAATCGATCAGCCGTTTAGGAGGAGTTCAGTGACATACCCAGTTAAAGACGGAAGAATTATATATGTAAAGATTAAGACTAAAATTGAATATTTAATATAGACTTCCTTGTTATTTACAATAGTTTATGACAGAGACAATGTTTGCGTGACGGGTGATTAATGTTTTTAATATTTAATATTTTAATATATTTCTCATCTATTTTTAACATCATTATTATCTACCCGTCAAATATAGGATGGTCGAGAGAAGTAGCTAGGTGTATCATTTCGATTAACTTAACTAATTAAAATGTCCTGTGACACATAGGCCTACTCGTATTCCAGCTACATCAGTAACATAATTTAATTCAAAAACGTAAATCAAACAATTACTTTATCGCTTTTAAACAAGAATTTGTCCGAGAAAACGGTGTATAATACAGTGTGCATTATACACTGTAGAGATATTTAAGTTATTAAAATATCTTGAGATATTTTTACCGTGTTAAATTTAACTTTAAGGCAATTACAAAAATTCCGCAGTGCATAGCGAGCGCGTTATTTAAATATGAGTAGTTGTATCGATATTAAACATGAAGAACGACAACATAATGGTCGTTGGAAAGATCATGGCGAATTTATTTATAGCTAGCGCGAAATGTAATCTGTTACGAAAGCGTAGCAGTGATGCGAACAAACACAGTTTAATTAGATATAAACGTTACATCGCATTGGGAGCGGTGTGAGAGAGGTCTTAGGGTAGGGGTGCACGCGATAAGTGTTAGCGGGCGGCGTTTAAATTGTGATTAAAAAATATTTCTTATATCATCAAAGAAAATGGGTCGTACGATCGGTTAAAAGAAGGTTACTTGGATTGTTTTGGGTCCCCTTGAAAAGTTAAAATTTTAACAGTGAGTCTATTGAACGTAACGTTTTTTTAACACATTATTTATATAAAAGTGTCTGACGTGAGTACTTAATTAGGATCCAGTAATAGTGTTGAATACGTGATTGAACAAAAAAGCTTTATACACGCACTTGTGAAGTTAACCTCTTTGGCATAAAAAATTTAAATAAACAAAATTCACACCATCAATAAACAATCACACGACATGACTAATGAATGACCAAACGTCAATAACGTTTCAAGGCAGTTTTCTCACATTATTCATTTCGCTTCGTGCTTTAAATCTCATGTTGTTAAAATTCACTCTAATAATTATTTTCCCTAACGCAACAAAAGAATTATAACTTCAAAGATGGCTTTACAACTACAAATCTACAGATAGATACAATATAGAAACCGGCCGAATATCAGACAGAAAATATTTGAAAATATTTACAGGAATTTATAAATATGTAGAATGAGATTACGCCGCTCACTCGTACCTTGACGCCGCAATAAAAGTCTGCGTCGATCAGCATTAGTGCGAAATTCAGTGCCCATTATATTTGCCCGACGTTTGAGCGATATGCATCTAAACTGATGTATGTCAGAAATAAATCGCATTTTGCTGGTTTAGTGTACGCTTTGGTAGTTTATGGCATCGCGTTGGTGCGTACTTTAGTTGTTTGCCAGATTAAAGACAAAGACAGATACATAGTGAACGTCGTAGTTTTGCGAAGTGAGTTACGTTTGTGAAAATTGTCCCGCTGAGTTTCTTTCGCCGGTTCTTCTTTAATTGAATTGAATCCTAAATTTGAAGTGACCGCTACGAAACAGGTCTCTACAATTAGAAAAAATAGCTCTCTAGTTTGCCTTTAAATAATAACGTCAGTACATTAAAAAAAGACTACCTATAGCTTAGTTTTGAAATATTTGCTACGTGGTAGTAGAACAATCTATAATGAAATATTTTTTATTTCAGATAAATAAAACACAATAGAGAAATTTTTACCTTTAACCTTTAACTCGAAATTTAATAGTGCTGACATTTTTAACCTTTCCCTTAATCCGTACAAAAAGTTAATTTCTAAAATACTTAAGAGTAATTAAATCAGTTTAATTTTCAATTAAAAATAGTAATTTATTGTTTTTGGTTACACTTTTACTAACTATTGCTGTTGTTATTGTTTATTATTACTTTTTTATATTGTTTAGGATGTAATTGTTTTCTTTTTAATTTCTGTTCATTTATGATTTTCCTATTAGAGGAAACTTAACTGGTATTTGTACAAGCTTTTTTAATAACTATAAGTGCGGTGTATACTGTATGTTTCCCAAATAAATAAATAAAAAATAATAATAATAAAAATAATACAGACATTTCTGAGTGTGTCAATTAGGGTGACCCTCGTTCGGAGAGGTACCACAGCCTCACAGAAGATCTGCGTGAAGTCGAAGTATACTTTTATGCTTCTTCCTTTTAAAAAGGTAACTTATACCTGCTCTCTTCGTCGCCTGGTGTTATAGATGCCCGCGGAGGTGATCATTTAACATCAGGTGAACTAATAGTACGCGATGACTTTTCACATAGAAAATAGATGAAAGGTATTTTAAGTTAACTTGAAACAAAATATATAATTCACATGGCTGATGAATGTCCTTAATATTAAATGTTAAATGTTTATAAATAAATAGTAAATAAATATTTAAAGACACGTCATTCTCTAGTTCCATAGTAGGAACGCTTGTGCTTTTCTTTTGTGAATAAATACATTTTAAAGATATATATTACGCCAATTTTGATATTTTAATAATGGTGACGAAAAAATTGCGCTATGAATTGTAAATAATAAATCATTGTATTGTTACAATAAACAATATCATGATTTACAAAAGAACAATTGCAGATCATTGCAGAATGTCACAAGTCAACCTTGCCAATTTGAGCGCACCGCTGCGATCTAAGTGCCAGCGTAAGCGACAAGCGGCAGCGTAAATTTATATATATTATATCTTATCCTTTAGGTTTCATTTTTAGAAAATGTCCTTTTATCCCTGTTTTCAGGGAATGAAAAATATAATTCGAATATGACGGTAAATTTCGCCGCAAGAGAAAATGTTATAATAGCTCGGTCGGTAATCGGGCGGCCCCAAAACAGACCATCATCCTCTTATAACTAAATTTACATAAGTTCAGTTTAACAATACAGTTAACGAATCGTACATTCAGGGACCAGTATTCTGTTTAATCAATCACTACATATAAAACATAGTCGTCCCGCTGTCTATCTGTCCCTATGTATGCTTAGATCTTTAAAAGTTCGCAACGGATATTGATGCGATTTTTTTTACGAGATAGAGTGATTCAAGAGGAAGGTTTATATGTATAATACATTGCACCCGTGCGTAGCCGGGGCGGGTTGCTCGTATTTTATAGTTTTCAACCGTTCTGCTCCGCTTTTAGAGTACAATGTTGGTGCTTAATAATAGCGGCAGAGCGCGGGGAGCGGTTGAAATTTAATTGTTTTCGTAGAATTACGAAAGGCCAATTTGCGTTCGGACTGTACGTCGCTACGTCTGCACGCAAATTAGAGCATGTCCAATCTTGTTGTTTACATGCATAATGTGATGTATTGTTTGGCTTGTGGGCCGACCGACATTATTTGCATATAATTAGTTCAGCGCGGTACGCGTTTTATTAACCGGTTTCGCTTCGGCTTCGGATGGGTGATGTTGAACGGAATAGATTATGGCTCTAATGTGTTTTATAAAAAGTAAGATCGCGACTGAGTCAAAAAAGATGAGAGAGATTCCGTACATAGAGAGCAGAGACAGAGAAATAGGAAAATGGCAATATTTTCTTGACTTTTAGAGGTATTTCAACTTGAGGATACATAATCTAGATTTCCAAGAAAAACAACACTCTTGAAGAATATTTTTTTAGCCAAACGCAATAGTATAATGGGAACGTGTAACAGAATTTGTATTTTCTTTTGGCTGTAAGTTATATTTTGTCACAGTATTTGTGGGTAACAAATATAATATTACTCGTGTAATTGAAGTCAACAATCCAGTCAAATAACAAAAAAACTATAAACTTGCTGCTTCTCAATGAACTGGAATAAGTATTATAAAAGTATAGTATACGTAAAATTAGAATTCGTTAATAGTGTCAACACCTATTTATCTCTCATTTACCTTGCTGCAAGATAACCTCTTACTGACAGTAAAAAAAAAAACTTTATTATAAGTAAATTTGCTAATGTAACCATTACCATTGATTTGCCAAATGGAAATTAATAATTGGCAATTAAAGCTGTGTACTTCATACACTTTTTAATGCTAATTAAACGGTTTTATTTAGCTCGACCCGTACGGAATTTGTTTGTTTGGGTCAAAATTAGAAATTGAAATTTAAGAGATTGAAATTAAAATTGAAATTTAAGCACCTTGCCGTTGTCAGATTGATCTGAAATTTGGTACACACATTTAATTTAGATGACAATACAATATTAACAAAAAAAATTAACAAAAAATAAAAATAAAACCGTTTAACTTAAAAGTTTTTAAACGGTTTTATTTTTAGTAAGACGACCCAATAGGCGTGGGGAGTAGTGAACCCGCCTCTTGCGCCAGAGGTTGTGGGTTCGATTCCCCACAAATAGTGTGTTTTTAGTGTCTGGGTGTTTAAATATCTATAATATGTATTTATTTACAAAAGAAAAGGATGTTTATCAGTTTTCTAGTACCCATTGTACAAGCGTTTCTTAGGTTCCGACTAGAGAAGGTTGTGTGAAAATGTGTTCGCAAATATTTGTTGTTATTTGTATCTTGTATCTTGTATTAACTGATGTTTGTGCTTTCAGTCCAGAGACTATTAAAGCTTCATCTGACGCAGAACCGGTGGGCTAGCCAGAACCCACGGGTTTGGGCCCTCCGCTGTGGGTAGGGCCGCGCATGTGCTCATGCGTGCGTTTAACTACGGCATGTCATCTAAGGGCCATCGAAGTAGCGGTGCGGACCGAGACCCCGATGGCCGTCGACTGTGTTTTTAGCTAATCGGTGGCTGGGGGCGGTGAGAACCGCCCTGGAACGCGGGTGTACCTTGTGTACGCGTTGTGTTGGTCTCGCCGTGCTCGGAGGCGAGGGCGAACTAATGTGTTTGTTGCTACACTAACTGTGTGTGTAGTGTTATCCGGCGGGACCCCCGACGGTGGGTCCGACGTACCTAAGTCCCCTTCCTCGACCGGGTCGATGAGGACGTTTCGCGGGCGACGCTTGTTGACGCTCGCGTTTATATCGGGTTGGTAATTTGCTGCGCGGCGGATGAACTTGTTCGGCTCTATCGAAGAACCGTTTGGTCAGGTCTTTGACAAATTCGCGAGTCTGCAATCACTGTGCAGGTCGACGTTGCGTTGTTACCACTGCGCACCGGTTGTGCGGCGGATGAACTTATTTTGCACTACTTGCAACTTGTGCAAGCGAATAGGGTGCGTGTGGGCGAAAATCATGCATGCGTAGGACATGATTGGCCGTATGCAAGCTTTGTATAAAAGTAATTTGTGTCTTAAGGACATTTTACTTGACTGGTTAGTTAAAGTGCTTAGCCGGCCGGAGACGAACGCGGCTCTGTTACGGACGTTATTAATATGCGCTGTGAATGACATACGCGAGTCGAAAGTGACTCCTAAATATTTTACCTTTTTCTCCCAGGGGAGCGGTTGGCCATTAAGAGATATTTGCCCTAGCTTTCTGCATTGGCGACGACCTTTATAAAGATGTGACGGGTAAGTACTTCGTGTGAAGTGAATCGCCACACTCTTTTCGGGATTTACTTCAATTCTCCATTTGCGGAACCAATCGCCGAGGCGGTCGGCGGCGCTTTGGAGTCGAGTGGTTAGTTGACTAAGGGTTGCGGTCTGAATAAAAGAGCGCCGTGTCATCCGCGAAAAGCGCGAGATTGACGTGGGGGTCTTTTGGTATATCGCTCGTGTAGAGCGATTGTTGTTATTTGTTAATTAGACGTCTAGGAACGCGACATATGCTACGGTCCGATTTCGGCCAAATGAACGCGATTATTCGGAAAGTAAAATCGTAGTCTTCTAATGGAAGGGGGCTTATTGGGTGGAAGGGGGGTTATTTGGGAATAACCCCCCTTCTATTATATTAGTAAAATCGTAATCTCCTCACCGTGTATTCGGACAAGGTCCGCTCGGATGGTGCCCTGTGGCTGTCGTTCTCATCCCTGGAGGAAGCACGGTGCAAATATCCACCCGACGAGGGCGAGTCCACGCCGGACCTGTGCGTGGCCACGTAGTGGTTGCTCTTCACTTTGTGCGCCATCTTTCTTTCGCTAGGTAACGCTCACGCGCATTTTCGAATTTCGAAAATGGAACGGCTAGCAGGGCGCCATTTTCCGCTCGCCCTTTTAGGCGGCGATTGCGCGCGTTCGGCCTATGTCCAATTTATCATATCCGTACCAGTTTCGTTTGGATCCGTTGTTTCGTATTGTGAGTCAACTGCGGCGGGCCTGCAACAAAGAATGCGTCGGTTAGGAACATTTAACCTTTTCGCGATTAGCCTTGAATTTATAATTTGTGGTGGGCGATAGTGAACTATACAAATTACTTCTTTTGATTGCCACGTCAGACGCAGGTAAGACGCGGCAGTGGAGGTTTTTCTTGGACGTTTTGTTTCGTCGATTCGACACATTATTGTAAGATATGTTTAATAACTTTAAAGTGATATTTAAGGAAAATTCAAGTATTTTATTTTTCATATACACAATTTTATTATTTTGAAATGACATCTCAGTTTTATTGTATTTGTAATATTATATCGCTTAATGTCGACAAAAAAATTATCACTTCGTAGTTAAAATTGAAGAAATTCTTAAGAAAAGGCTCAGCGAGTATTGTAGTGGGATTTGGGCTTTTATATATAATGAATTACGACCAATTAAAACAACATTAAAGGTCGTTTTTACCAGACAAAAGAAAAATATTTTTCTATGTGCAGACATGCTGATTTATTCCAGTTATCTTTATCAACACAACACGCTCGAAATATCCAACAAATGTGATCTTACGTTACTAAGCTGTAAGTTTTAAGTGGTCATAACTCGACTGTAACCAAACTAAGTTTCTGTCTTTGTATTAAATTGTTAATCGACATTCTAAACTAGCCGTTTCTTGTCATTGCCATTACTATACCCAATAAGATATAATCTATAGTATTAAAAGCATAGAAAATAACCCGCAAACAATCCCCGCATTGATTATTAACCCAGATGTTGAGACGCCGGCGCGGTGGCAAATCGAGTTTTCTCTCAAATCATCCTTGGTCGTGACCGTAAGCACTTTCGCTGACCTATTTTCCACGAACATCGAATTGTGTGTTCCATGTGTCGAATGATCGTATCGCACAGATAATCGATTCTGCCGTTCCTTAATTAAAATCGGGCAAAAACTTTGACTGACACATCAGGGTTGTATCAATTACTAACACAATAGTGGGAACCAGTGTTGTCGATTTTGTGTGAAGTGTTACAACTGGCCTGTACGGCGTTCATTTGCCAATTGGTTTTTTTTAATGAATACATTTCATTTCAATTTCGAACCAGAGTGAACTAGATGGCTGATTTTGTTTATTTATAACGACCTGATGAATTAGGGTTAAACGGTTCTTGATTTGATAATGCGTTTTCGATAGGTGGACTATTAGAAATTATCATTTACAGTGAAAATAAGGTATTCTTTCATTTTATTTATTAAAATTGTGATAATTATGATTAACGATTTAATATTTTTTATTATTTTTTCCATTTTATTACTTTGAAGGCTCCAAATTGTATCGATACTAAATTGATATGTATAAATGACTGACCGAACAAGTGAGCTATTGAGTAAAGTATCTTCTTTTTCATCCTCCATTTTAAAAAAAACATTTATTGTTAAATGAACAAACAGTTCTCGGAGCGTAAAAATAAAGGATCACTTGTGAAGTTTATAATGCATGGTTTGCTTGTTTTATTTATCCTTAAGGAGTGTTTGGGTCTGTATATTTTTATAAGAGACGAAAGCTTTCAATTCAAAAGCACTAGGCGTTCGAATAGTTTGAAAGCATGCATTCGTGTTGAATCATGGAGAGTCCTTCCTTGTTACCTCAGTGTCGGATTTGAATTAAATAAAGACGGGGACGAGTGTGGGATTTTGTGCTTAATATCTACACCTGTAAGGTCGAGAGTTCTGCTTTAAAAATCGGTTTAACAAGTCATGAATCGAGATGCACTTTCGCCCATTGTGAATACACGCGATGAAGGAATAACAATTTCACTCGACTTGCTTGAGACAGGCATGCAATTTGATAGGCTGCGTCTTTGCTAACATACAATTTGGAATATTCCATTATTGTTTTGATAAAGATCGTTGTGGATAAAGTAAAAAAGTAACGGCCATTGCTGAGACAAGTCCAGCTTTGAACAGAGGATATTACGAAATAGTCCTCCACGCGGCTCCACTGCGGATAGGTAGACTTAACATGAATATTGTTTTTTTAATTATTTATAATATATGCGGGTTTTCTTTCTCCCCCCCCTTACAACATGATCACATGTTGTGCCGACCCCAACTAGGTGGGATGATGGCAGGAGGATGATGATATAAGGAAAGGAGGTGTCACGACTTGAAAGACTGTCGCGTCCTTAAAAGAACACCCAGTTTTCTTGACGACGCTTTCTCTTCATACTCGAGGAACCGCTCAAACCCAAAGTCTGAGCAGATCACAATACCAAACATTTGAAGAATCTAAGCCTATCCCAAAGATACATTTCGAAAAGTATCTTTGGAAAGGATATGCCTTCATATAGCTGTCCCAGGAACTAGACCCCCTGGACGCCCAAGGAAGCGATGGCTGGACGTCGTGGAAGAGGATATGAGAGCCAATGGACTGACCTCTGCGGATGTCGAAGACCGGGCAAAGTGGAGAGAGCAAAGTAGGAAGGCATTTCGAAAAGTAGGCAGTTTGGGGGAGGGACAAAATTATTGCCAAATTACTAAATGATAACGCAATTTACTACAACTATTACGTTAACCGTGGTAGAAATCACGGAATCGATTACTGTAATAAAAAAAATCATTAAGGTATTCGACGCAAAACACCTTGGGAAGCGCTTCAATTAAATAAAGTAACCATGTCTTCGTTTAGTAAGATCCATTTTTGCGTGATACAAGTTGAAATGGGGGGAAAAATGCGTTGCCTATAAATACCGTAAGAACAATGGCAGTCGATCGCCGGCATCGATTCGTGACGAAACAACGCAACGTACCGAGTTATCGGTACGATATCTAGTCCGGGTACAATATCGAGTACGGGCAACCTGCTGAATTACTTGTGATATTCATGTTACAATTTTCGTAATAGGCCCCGTCAGATTAACCGATACGTTCAAGGTAATCGTTAACAAGAACTATTAGTTTGTCAATTATTTATGCGTTACATTGTAATGAGCGATATTTATTAAGAGATATAAGTGTTTATCTTGTTTTATTGTCAGTAGCAACGCGTCTGTGACACCTTTTACAACAGATTAATTAAAAGTAGAGGTACTCAATTCATCTGTATTTTTTTAAGTTTGTTACCTAAGAACACCGGCCCTATAGTAATTGCCTTCTATTGTAAGACTATTTTACTCTTTCCTTATTTCTCAAAGCGACAATAAATAGTGGGGTAACTGAAAATATCTTTCAGGAATGTCTTCTCGTTCTATCCTGATTCGTGATTGCTTACATTTGATAACGCTTTCATGAAATTAATTTAAATTATACGCACGCAGCATTTTCAAATTTGTGTGTGCCTGTTTAAGAGCACCGCTTCTATGATAAAGGTAACCGCATTTTGCGTAAACAATAAGCGAATTGCGGTTAAATCGCTTAAGTACCTTTGGCTTATGTTACAACCCGTTGCAATATTTACATATTTGATGCACATGCTTCAGCATTCTTGTGGACAGTTCCAATATTGAAAGCATCAAAATATTTAGAACAATCGAACAATAGCGTTGATATTTTACGAAATTTAATCATCTCGGATAAAAACGATTTAATTTGGAAATCGAAAAATCATCATCATCGTTATCAGCCGGAAGTCATCCAATGTTGAACACATACCACCCCCTTCCCAACGCCACAAAGAACGACACTTTGTTATTTGCATCCAACCGGCTGCTCGCGACAATGGCGAAAATTTAGTTACTACCAGAGAACGTAATATTTGCGTAAAAATTTCCTAAACAAAGGTTTAGGAAATTACAAGAAATTTTACTATAGGGATAAGTAAATAAATTAAAGACAGTGTACTAAATCGATGAGGTGATTTCACATAACTTATTAAAAAATTTAAAATTCTATTATGCCTCCATTGGTCCATCTGCAGACTCATATCATAACTACAACTGAAGACAGCGGTAATGTTATAAACTTATATAAATTATAATTTCTTGTTACGTATGGCACATAGCTCGAAGAACCGATGACTGTTGGGGCATTGGTGGCAAAGGTTCTTGAGTGGTACACAAGGTGAACGGACGATCTGGTAAAGATTGCAAGGGCTCCTTGGATGCAGGCCGCTACCAACCGGTCGAAGTGGAAGTCAATGGAAGTCAAGTCAAAAATACTGTTGAAGGTTAATATTTTTGCTTGTATTATTCAGTGTCCCATCTTTTTTTTATCGACAGTGTCCCCCGAATCTTACAATGCGAGAATCGACCGACACAATACCACTCGCGGTCAAATCACTAATCACATTGATGGACGAGCGAACGCCCCACAGGTTATAGTGTCAATGTTTGCATCGTCTCATTTCGCGGCCGAATCGATTTTGCGACGTTGTCGTTCCGTGACATTAATCGATTATAAATAAAGATCGAACGCGTCTGATTTGCCAGTTTACGTTTGCTTCAAAATAAAATAAAAATGTTTTTATTTTTTATGAAGTTCGAATTAGTGCCAGTCATTCAAAAGGGATTGGAAAGCTCAAATAATACTTTCGGAATTTACACTGTTTTGCAAAATTTAAATGTTTTTATTAAACATTCTGATTTTTAGCTTTAAGGTAATATAAATATACTGTTAGTATTACAGCTTTAAGCGAAATGGTTTATATTTGCATATTTGAAGAAGTTTTGCCTTGTTTAAGCTGTTTACATTCCTCGTAGCGTTAACTGTAAGTTAAGGTTTATTAACATGTTTGTGCTGGTTGCGTATTAAAATTTAACTCTTCCATGTTTATTGATTTGAAAACTTTTAGTAGAAAATTGTTACTCTGATGTTACTGAATTTAATAGC